AAGAACACTAAGGTTAGCACTTGAACATGGGCACAGATCTGCATAACTCACCCAGCATTGGTGAATAGCTGTCAGAGCCCCCCTGTAGAGCGGCTCGTTGCTCTGGGATGAGAAACGTTAGGTTCACGACTGCAGTTCCATCCGCCGGAGACGACCGGGACAAACCTTCCCGTGCCCGTGCCCGTGTTCTCAAGACCTCCTCATATTCCATAGACCTTACATCTGCCTCCTTTGCTTTACCACAGGCTCGAACGTGGTTGTTGTACCCCCTCGATGATAGCTCGCGATCGCAGTGGGGGCATCGTCTCGTTTTCCCGGCGTTATAGACTTTCGCCGGGTCCATAGGTCCAACGCGCAGAGCACGCCACAGGTCTCAAGGCAAAACCCAAGACGAAGGGCAACTCCGGGGGCAATAGTGATTTCTAGCTGACGAAGGGGGGCACAGGTCGGGAACAGGGTAGCCAGAGTGCGACGAGAACGTCGACAAACTATGAAAGCTATTGCAATCCGATTCGAATCTCATTCTAATCCGACGATAATCGTAGCATGTAATTCATATCTGGATATAATTGGAATTTGATTCATATAAAAATAGCAGCTGGGTCCGGACCAATTATAATGCAGGAAGGAAATCTCCGACATGGTCACCGTAGCCATGTCGTCCACTAAATTACTGTCAATAACCGACTGTACTACTTCTCCTTCATAGCCTATAGGATAGTGCAGCACCACGAATAAAAGCAGTATGCCCTTTTGTTGCCCTTGTCGTTGTCAAATATGACGCCCAGGGCATAGACTGGTCGAAGCCTTAAGACCTACCAACCAATGCGGAATAACATACATGGTCTTAGCATCGATATATGCAGCTATTCCCGCATACGCTAGCAACAATGAGCCGAGCAAGGGAGGATCACTATACATACAGCTCGACGGACCCCGGCCTCGAGATCAGAACAATCTGGCAGTTGAATGTGGCTATCGCAAACCGGACACCAGGAGAGATATATACTGACGAGCATACATTGGTGTTTCATAAGTACATACATATGTTGATTTTACTCCTGAGGAGGTCACCATAAATGAGGAAAGGATAGAGAACATAGGTAGAGCTAGACGTACCAGAGCCGTAAGATCAAAGAACTCCGGGAGATGGTTCCAAAGGCCGCCTCGCAGCTCCTTTGCCTGTCTCCGGACTGCGAGTCTGCATGTCCAGCACAAATCTTTCATCCAAGTGGAATGGATGTCGCCGGTATAGTCATGCAGAAGATGTAGCACATCTTCGCTCCGGCGTATACACTCGTGCAGCTCCGTGATGGCTTTCCCTCTCGCTAGGCGGCAGCGTGGGCCAGGCTCATCTGGACGCAACTCGTCTTCGTCCGAGTCCGAGTCCGAGTCCGGGTGAGCCATGGACGCCCAATAACAGAGTCCGTCTAACGCATCCTTCTTCAATTTGGTACGCCCGATGAAAAGCCTGTAGTAGTCATCCCCCGCCAAGGTCTTCCATCGCGCAGTTCGCGTTCCGAAGAACATCAGCGGATGCCGTCGCTCCTTGGTGGGCTTGGACTCATTATCTCTGAATTCCAGAGATAACCGGGAGAGATGGTAGAAAGCAGCGTGGAGAATAGTGGGCACCCCGTACTTCTTGGCTACAATCTCGCCTTCCACCCAAGTTTCAATGGACGTGGGCCAATCTTCGGTCGGTCGCTTGACTATCGGATACCTGAGGCTCGTTATCTCGTGGTTGGTAGCGAGCGCTCGAGCGACAGTATTGGTTCCGCGATCAACGGTGTATTTCGACCGAGGCGTTCGAGTGACAGAGTTCTACATCAAGCGTCATCGAGGACTTGTGAAACCAAACTTAGACCTAAGGCAAAGAGGATGCACGTCTCGTGGTACAATATTTTCAGGACCTCCTCCAAGTCCTCAGCGCTATCTGGCATCCGGATAAACGGCTGTCCTCCCCAAAGCTCGTTCGCGTTTGAGGCTGGCAGGGCAAACATATCCGCAAAGATAGGAGATGCCTTGCTGAGCACAGACATGTGCACGCGGAATCCGACGTGCTCCCCATTCAAGTTCTTCGCACATAAGACAACGTTCCCGTCGTACAGCCAGAGCGTCTCGTGCTCCTTCATGAGTGTTCCCTCCCCTTTCTTCGATTTGTTGGTCACTACGAGTGATTCAAGGCTGTCGGCAGAACCCTTCTCCGTTTCAGGGGATTACGGTTCTCGTCCATGGAGCACAGAGTAAGCGTGCTATGGTAGATGCAAGGTCAAGACGAAGCGGAGCCGATATACTCGAGGACAAAGTGCAAAATTGAAGACCAGTAATGGTGTAACGGCAGATGCGACCTGTCACGCGCACGCCGCGTGAGTCACAGGATGACTGCACTCGCTCTCCTCATTGCCTACAAGTCACGTAGAATAAATTCGTTCCAATTCCAGTTCATAGCCCGTGATTGCAAGGAAGGCGGATGGAAGATTATATTGAACATTTTGGGGAGCCGTTTCCACAAGTTCTCCCTCAGTTCAGCCAGTTGGAGACGAGCAAAGTTCCGACATCTCCAGCAAAGCTTTCGTGGAAATGGACCCTGTTCTGCACGCGTCTTCAAAACCTGCAATGCATCGTCGCTTTCATAGATTGCGTGCCGAAGATCGACGTAGTGCTTGTCTCTCACTTCCAGGGAACACAGTTTCTCGTGGTCCGAATCCGCATCCGCAGGCGAATCCGATTCCGAGTCCAATTCATGGTGTGGGGGATTCCAGCCCAGAATGGACGAGCTGGCGCTTGCCTTCAGGTTCGTGCGCCCGTGCAGCAGACTGTAGTAGTCGTCGGCCTGCAGACTCTTCCACTTAGCAGTTCGCATACCGGCCGCGAGTACGGCCATCTGGACTCTGGTAGATTTGGACCCATCCAGGCCGTACCCAACGGACAGTCGCGAAAGATGGTAGAAGGCGGCGGGGAGGATAGCGGGAATCCCGAACGTTTTGGCTAGCTGAATCGCTGACGCTGGTTCCGGGAGGTGGTCGTCAATGTACGTGTTGTGTTTATCATACCATCCTTTCTTCATCGAGGCTATCTCTGCCTCCAGCGCATCCCAGGCTTGAAGACTTGTCGTGTCGGCCAATCCTCCATGAGGCGGTCAACAACATGAATCCTCACGGTATCGATCTCGTATTTAGTTGCAATAGACAGGACGGGTCGAACGAGGGCTGGCGTGTTTGGGTCCAGGCGTGTAAGATGCAGACTTCTACTTCGAGTCTGAGCGGGCTGCAAAGCAAGACTTTATGCACATAGAGACCACGTACCTCTCGTGGTAAAGAAACATCAGCAAAGCCTCCAGCTCTTCGGCACCGTCAGGCATCCGGACGACAGGTACTCCATCACAAAACTCATTCGCGTCGGACGGGGGAAGAGCGAACATATCTGCGAATATCGGGGAGACCTTGCAGAGCATAGTCCGGTGGACGCGGAAAACGATGCTCGCTCCTTGCTTGTCGACTGAGCCAAGTATGATATTCCCATCCGTGAGCCATAGCGACTCGTGCCTCTTGAAAGGCGGTGGCGTCTGCTGGTCGCTTCCTGGCTGCTTGACGGAGTCGGAGATCCTGCGTCGTTTCACAGATTGGGAACCGTCGGCCATAATAGACGTCGTACTGGTTGAGGAGCAGACAAAACGCGAAGACAGTAGGGTTTGTTTCCTTTTCATAGACAGAAGACAAGCGACAAATCTCGTTATTAGGGTGATTCAGTTCTAACTACGAAAGCCGCTTTTCGTCGCTTTCTGAGAAACCGCTTTCTCGGCTCGGCCGGAAAGGCGTGGGATCCCGGTCAAGCTGCTGCTTTTTGCAAGCGCAGAGCCAATGAGAGAGCTCAATGAGCGAGACTCGCGACTTCGCACGGGGTCGATTGCCATTTCCAGAACGCAATGCATGGCCCCTTGCCGGTGGCTGTAACTTCGACGCTGCGAAAAGCGACAGAAAGCCGCTTTCGCATTTGGAACTGAATCTCCCTATTGCAGACTGCACGCGTCCTGTCACGCGTCCTATTTACGTGGACCACGTCTTTGCTCGTCGGATTCTGTCGGATTCGGAAGCGTTTGCCTTCATTCCTGTCGCATCATACGGCCCTTCGACTAGCGAAGATCGTATTACAACTGTACGGTCTACCAGCAGAGGAACATCTCTGATACGGACGTTACGAAACACTTGAGTAAGAGCTTTCCGTCGCATATCTATTATTCGTTCTCTCGCACTGCGCTTTTTACGTTCACGGTCGTTGGGAAAGAAGTTCCCGATGTCTTAGCTAGTTCCATTATGGTCTGTGGCTTCGTGCCTGTCCATTAGCCTACAAATCCGCACCCGATGTGGGTGTAAGATACCGTATGGTTTACATGTCCCTCTATTTGGCAATAGAATACAGTCCGCCCTGTTCTATCCGCTCAAATGCTAATTCAAACTTGTACAGAGCTTTACTCTCTTAACTTTCCTAACATACTTCTTGTTTGTGGGTGGAGTTCAATTTCATCTTAAAATACTGTGTCATGCTCGGTAGGAATGAGAACAAAAGACCCACGGACCATCATAAACTGCGGCGGATGCGAACACAATGCTGCGGGTGGAATGGTCTGCCGCGCTGGAATCTCCCGCGGCAGACCGCAAGGGGGTGCGTAAGGAAAGTGGGGCGCGCAGCGACGGCTCACGGAGGTTCAGCATCAGCCGGGAGATGAGGGTCACGGAAACTCTGTCGGGAAATGCCTTGAGAGGCTGCAAGATGGCAGAACAAGAGGAGGGGCAGGTACGGACACGTTGGTGAATGTGGATGGCGCTCCACGCAGGAGTGGCTGGAGAATCAGTCAGAGAGGAGCGGGCAAGTGCAGGAGTGGCTATATCTCACCCCTCCGAGCTAGATAATGAAGGTCAGCGATCCGCTACGGAGACCGTGAGTGCGAGAAACAATGCGCTGAACTTACAACAAACGTGGAAATGTTCGCAATATTCGCAAGAACCATGAAGCTTTTCCTTGTCAATTTTCATCTATCGTAGACAGGTGGCAAAGGCACCTACCAAAAGTACATGGCACCATCCTGCAAAATCACGTCCACGAGCGTGCGCCGCCCGATCCGTGCCATGCGTAACGATTTGAGAATAGTCAGGAAAAATATCACCAGGTCAAAGGTGGTCATACCACCCCACGCAATTGCGAGATCTGGGATAGGGCTCCGGCATCGTGTCTCAGGTAATTGGGGAATATCCGAGGACTTACGGATTACCCTGGATTGAGAATAATTTAGTCAGTGACGAGCCGAATGCAGTGGGTGAATGGAGAAATTCACGCACTGTTCGGAGGAGAGCGTGGTATTGCAGCCTATGTCCTGTATGGGCACGGGGTTTGTATGCTTCCCCGTAATAGCCCACTGAGCAGTGGTGAGGGAGGGCTGGGCAGAAGGATGGAGAAGGTAACTTACGCATCCGACGGCGATGACACCCAGCGCGAGACTGCAGAGAAACCAGAGCACCCAGCGGGCTCTCTCGTACAGGGCGTATGTTCGCACAATAAGGCATGCTATACTCGCGATTATCTCAGAAGAAAATGGAAGATGAAATAAGAAATGGCTTACTTCCTACGACCACTTGAACGACGACGGAGAGGATTTGATGGTAGCTCTGCAGCTGTATGCATCTAGGGAATCGCTCAGGGCCGGCCGCAAGACATGACGAGATCACCAACGTCTGGGATTATAGTCAGTGAGTGCACGAACATGATATGATAGTTATCGAAGGTTCACTTTATTTGAGAACGCTCTGAAAAGTTGCAAGATTACAGGGATGTGGCCGAATATCCCCAGATAGCGGTTTAGATAGAAGAGATAGGAAGCCGAGGTAAATTTCGGGGTCCAGAACCTATCGACCTCGATCTCGAAGGTCAGCGTATAGTCGTAGTAAAGCAGGGCTGTATCGGATAAATTCAGACGACTGGCTCGGCTGTCACGCTTTACACTTACCGAACGCGATCGAGGAAAGATATTCGTTGGCATTGCTGTGGCAGCACTGTGTAAGTCTCTCATACCATTATCAAGGTAAGGCGAAACGTTGGTGACCCACAGATCCAGCGCGACACTGCCGGGTGAGGCCATGGGAGGAATGCCAGTGCAGAGTGTCGCATATACAACGTTAACAAACAGCCTGGATATTTGGTTGGCCGTCCTGTTGGGGCCTAGCCATGGATGGCCACCGTTTCGGAGGAAGGTGTCGTGGGTAAGATGAACGGGTACGTTGATCAGGATGATAATAGGCCGAGTCGCCACTTGCCACTTGAAAAGAGGAGCATGCTGACCTGAATTTCATGCAGTGTATTCGAGTTTCAGGCCCCTGCAACCATGATCACGATGCTCCTCCGATAGTAACATCCTGCATGATTAATGAAGAGCTTTCATCTGTTGACGTATTCTGTCCGAGTCGCCCTGGAGCTTCAACTACTTTGATCCAGTCAATTCCACTTTTGAGAATCATGCCTAGAAGTTTCCTGGGGTTGTTTCCGTCTATAGACCCAGTTCTAGTGTCATACCATCATGTTCTTGTGGAGGGGACCCAACTTGAAGTATTAATAGTATGAGTGCCTGGGGTCGAAGTTGACTCCAGAGATCTCGCAGCATAAAGTTGCGCCACAGCTGCCAGTGATGGGGGCGCTCACTCCCAGTATGCGATGATCTCAGGCTTAAGTACCATTGTCTGTTTCCGCTCGATTATGCAGATACTCCTGTCGCTTAACCATTGTCCATGCATGACGCTCCTGGGCCGTCCTTGACCTCGAATCTCTCGGAAAATCCCTTGTCATCTGCTTTCGACGAAGGCTGCGGAGATTGTAGACCATTAGTAAGGATCTGGAATTTCCATATAGGCTCACTTGGAATATCAACGGATCTTCCGGTGCGCAACTAAGACTGATCGTGCTGCAGGGTGTTCAATCGCGAGCTATCAAGAGGGAATCGGTATCAAGGGCATCCCGTTGTCGGCATATTGAGCAGCTTGCGCTCTTTTGCGGACTCGTCGCTCCCAAATCATCGCATACCTCAGGTATGCGATGATTTGGGAGCGACGAGTAACAGGTTGTTAGCGTCGACCCAAGTAAGGGGATACTGTTTGTATCAGTAGCCGTTGTTGAACACTCAAAGGTTGTTCAGCCGGTTTCGGGTTGGACCGCTGGTCAATGTCATTGGTCCAAGAGTCAAGATGCCAAGGGGCTAATTTGCGATTTCTTGCCCTGAGAATTCTGTCCTGCTGTGTTTGCGACCTCCAGACACGCACTAAAAATCTGAATCTATTTCTAGAAGGTCTTTCCAAAGCTAAATACAGCATACATTACCTTTATCCACAGATAGGCCTGTAGTACGAGTTCCGTCAAGGAATTCATTAGAAATAGCCAGGAGACCACTTACCCGATTTGGATGATTCAGAGTGCCGCATGGCTTTGAAGGCACAAGCAGGCATCGTGCAGGGTATTCCGAGGACAAGCAAGAAATGACTACTTGTGCATCATGAATTATATGGTTGGTATATGGGATGTCAGGGCTCTAAGAACAGACACATTCGCTCCTCAGACACTATAGTAGACACGGACGAGATATATATGGTGCATCACGAGTACTTGGCACACTTGTACTACTTATTCTGACGTGCAACTGACTGCCCGAGTTTAACTAGAACGGAATTGATGGCGGGGATGTGGACAAAATTTAGGTATCCATTACTTTCTCGCCAGATCAACGCCAGCATTTGACTCGGGCCGACACGCAGTGTTAAGTGTCCTGTTGCCTGAGCGAAGAAATTCTCTATCGTGTCGCCAATTGCTGGAAGAGCGATGGTCTGATGTCGGGACGCAGCACCCCGTGTCTTCCACTACGCTCAGCAGAACGTGCGCGCATCAGAAAGCTTACGGTTCCCTCGATGTACCTGCTAAACACCGCAGACACGTAACGCGGTCAAACAGTGTACATTCGTTCGATCGTCCACTCATAGCATGCGATCGACAGACGCCCCGACCGACGGCGATCAGACTACCTTGGCGTTCCACCCCAGTCTGAACGACCTCTGGCCAAGCTCGGATCGTCCGCGTCTCGAGCGATCTGCTTCCAGAGGCGAATCCCACCACCCCGAAACCCGCTGCCACAGCCGCCCGAACCGACCGCCCAGCACCGCATTCCCAGATCCCGAACGCACACCCCCGTCGCCCGCGGCAAGGTGCAGCACCCTCATGAACTCCTCCACGAACGCCAACACCGGCGCGTCCCCGCCCCCGGCGCGGCGCCGCCTCTGCTCCTCGACCGAGCCCAGGTAGCCCTCGGCGAAGCTGAACGGGAGGTAGAGCACGCCCTGCCACGTGTACGCGTGCACGAGCATCGAGGGGTTGTATGGGATGCGCGAGCTGAAGCGCGGCGCGGAGACGGCGAGCACGCCCGCGCCGCCCGGGAGCGCGTGCGCAGGCGACAGGTGGCCGTCGACGATTCCTATGGACGATACGTTGGGCAGCGGCGAAAGCTTCCCGAGCCGTTCTTCGGGCGGCAGGCTGCGGGGCCCGCGGATATATGATCGTGAGTGCTTCGGGAACACAGAGCGATAGAATGCAGGGCTCACTCTCGTGCCTTGACTCCCGCCGTGAAGTGCCCCAGGATCTCCATCGCCTCCTCGCCCCACACTCCCACGCGGTCCATATACCGCTGCTGCTCGTTGACCTGCCCCCTGATCTCCCTTCCCAGCGTCCACAGGTCCTCCAGCAGCCTGCCCTCCGCCGCCTCCCCACCCAGCCCGGAGTGCACGTGCACGAACCGCCCGAGGTCGCGCGCGACGTACGCGTGCAGCCCGATCGCGCTCCCGACGCCTCGCGGGTCGACGCCCGCCCGGAAGTTCTTCACGCGCAGGTCGACCGCGCTCGAGGGGATCGGCGCGTCGACGGCGTGCGTGCTCTCCGGGGGGTGCAGCCGGAGAAGGGCGAGGAGCATTGCGGACACGAGGACGTTAAATATAGTGCACCCGCGTTCCCGCGCGGCGGCACACAGCCGCACCAGCGATTCCGGGGGGATAATTCTGAGGAGCACGCCTGTAGTCGAGGGCTGCCCGATGGGCCGGGGGATTGTCAGGCCTTGAAGCGTCTGCAATTCGGGTGAGCGACGGGCCCCGTCCAGGAGGAGTAGACGTCACCTTCGGAACCGTCAGCGCTTCTCTTACTTTGTCCAGCATCGCTGTGTCGCCCTCTGCTCTTTCTGTTGACCAGGGAACTCGCGCGCGATCGGGCATGGCACCCGTCAATCTTACTACTTCGGCACCCCATTCAAAGTCCCTCCTTTCCAAGGAGCCTAATAACCCCGCGATCTTCGCGTTGAACATCTCCAGAAAGTGAAACGACCCGATACCGTCGAACAGTGCGTGTCCAAGGCGGAAAACGAGGCCACACCGGGAGCCTCTCAGGCCAGGCACGAAGTGTACTTCAAAAAGAGTGGCCTGTGGCCCACTGGCTGCTCTCCCGAGATCGCGCGATACCAGTTGAACCGCCGTACCTACATCTCCGGGGGCAGCTTCCGCCGCGTCCGCTCGCGAGAGAACCACTTCTGAGAGCCATCGCTCGACGTCGTCTTCTGAAGCGGGCACTTCGTACACGAGCCGTCCGTCCTCGGGTTTGGGCAGAGCACTCGGCTCGAGTGCCGGCCAGGCGAACGTCGCGGCGATGGTAGGGTGCTCGAACCGCAGTTCGCGGACGGCACAGCGGACGAGGTGTTCATCTATTCGACTGGAACAATCCGCGGGCGGCGTGAGCTGACAAGAGATAATTATGTCGGCCATGCCTGGGAGCGCATAGCCGCACACCGCGAAGCTCGCCTCAAGGCCCCAGAGCTTCCTGTGCCATATCCTGTCGTAAGGAGTAGGACGTGGTCGACCGAGGACAGAGTAGTTTGGCGGTAGAGGAGGCTGCTGCCAGGCCCACGGGGACTTGTGCCTCCCTGGAAGGCCCGACGGGGGGAGGAAAGCCATACTGAGGCGTGCAGATGTGCCTCGATGCATAATTTCGGACTAGTGAGCTTAAGTAGGAGAGGTGAAGCATCGGCGAGGGTATTGCCATGTCATTAGGCCGAGAATCTAACGATTTCACCTTTGGGTTTGTGATCTGGCCTGGGATGAGGATTCCATACGGCATCCCGGCGACCCTTGCTGAGGCTCAATAATGGCTGCTCCGTAGTCGTCGAGAATGCGGCCCCCCCTGATATATTCGATCTCTGCGGACTGTGGTTTTGGTGTTTAGTGAGGCTCAGCAATACTCCGTCACACCAAGGCCTTCTCACAGAAAGAGGACGAACTGCGGTAATACGGCTGAAAGCAGTGTTGTACAGACCCGAGTTCATCTGAAGAAAGATTACTGTGAGTCCGCGGCTGTCCGCAGTCTTCTAGGCCCTGCGGCGGCGATAAGCGCGAGTACGAGTGAGCGGGAGAAATGCCATACACTACCGGAGGACAACCAGAAACGATAGCCTTCTTTTATAACGTTTGAGGTCCCGGCGACTGTTCAGAAAAGCACGACAGAAGTAGTGGGAAGGCAAGATGACCGTCGGATGGTCGCCGGGCTGAAATGAGTACATACGAAATAGAGGCGTACGTCCTAATCTGATCAATGTTGGAAGTAGCTGTGAGTATATGTGGTCAAAGACTTCGTACAAACGAAACCTCATACGCCCTGGAATGCCCGAACAGCCTCGGAGCCGTGTACGTACCACACATAAACTCTCCGGGACGCACGAGTTTAGCATACCCTCTTGCTTATGACTAACCTTTCTAAGGAGATGAAGGCCCAGCTATCGCCACAGGATCAAGATTGTGAGGTCCCGAGCCAGATGTCGTTCTCATCGTATCGGAACCGCACGACACAAGCCGTGCGAGGGAAGAACTAAAGGGCTTCACAAGCAACGGACACATTAGGGGGAAGCTTCACCGAATATACGGAACATTAACATACGATTGTCTGTCCCTGGCGGCACAACAATTCCGAACAGTTGGGGATACGGAGGGTCCATCTGAGTACTACATACCTAGCGCGGTGGTCTGGCATGCGTGCGGCTGTTGCCGTTGCTTCTGAGTTATTCCGAGTCTTGCATTTTACTAGTAGTCGGATCTTAGTCGTGCTGCACCAGCAAAGACACACATCACTATGGCTGCGCTGCTTGCAGTCTATTTTGTCTCTCCAGCGCATTGCGGATGAGAATGGTAGTAAGTATGCGCTCCATACGGGCAACTAGGTTTGTTCCGGGCTGATTTCGGCGAATTCATTCATTATGCGACGTTTTCTCTCTGCCGCCTCTAGAAACGTGGCGACTGTTACTACATCTCATCCTTTGACTAAGGGGCCTCTACACTCCCCGAAGGCTGCGCGAAGGACTGTCCGTTGTACCCACTCTCCGTACACCCCTCCTCTTTCTCTCAGCGTCTTGGATAATCTGATACTTATTTTGGAGCGTCCTGATCCGTTCAGCCATCCGGTTCTGGGCATCCTGTGATATGCCTTCGTCCTTCATGGCTTCGAGGCGGAGCTGTAGGAGTTTGATCGTGCCCGCGACGTGACCGGTGAAGCTGCCAGACAGTGCGAGGGAATTATACGAATCGCACAAATACCCTAGCTTGCCTTCGCTACCCTTGAGCGCCTCTTCGCATTCTGCGATCTTCGCCTCTACAGTCGCGCGCACAGCCTCAATCTTCTCCGCTTCTGTTTTAGCCCCATCGTAAAGAGCCTTCGCCAGTTCATTGACTTCCTCAACTTTCTTCGTCTTTTTCACCCATTTGGCATAAATATGCTGGTGCAGGTCGGAGGAATGTCCGCACACGTGGCAGTGAGATGGATCCTGTCTGCCACCCGGTTGCTGGAACGCCATACACTGCTTACCCAGGCGATCGGTGTCCAACGTGAAGGTGACATTGCAGGATAGGTGACAATTGGAGTAACACCCTGTGGCCGCGCATAGTGTGTTGTGGACGTTTGTTGCTTCGTGCTCGAAGTAGGTCCTGGACACGATCGCCGAATATCTGCTATTAATATCCCGGATCTGTCGCCGGAGACGTCAGTGCGTTGTGCAGGACAGGCGAACACCGGTAGCTGGTACCTCTACTTGCTGACGCATATCGTCCTGTAGCTTGATGAGCGCGCTTCTAAGCTCTTCCGTCTGCGAAATACTAGCGATAACGTTCGCAATCGCGGCCTCGATCTCTGTGGAGATTTCCTGCAGATCATTAATCGTCTTCGTGGGTTGCACTGAACGGCTGTCCAGCCACTGGAACACGTCGTTGAGCGTCTCGAGCGATTCAACATATCCCTCCTCTACATCTCGGCGCATCTTCTCGAGCCGCTGGCGCGGCCCTTGGACGCGCTTTGCCTGATACTTGAGCCATCTCGCCAGGGGATTGTCAATCAAGAACTGACGACAGCCTTGAAGTACCGCGGGAAGGGACGTACTGTCAAAGTTGAAGTTGAGAGGGTCGTTCACATTCGTGAAGACAAATCCGATATTGTCGAACAAGGTGTAAGGAAATAAACCTGATATCGCCGACAGTGCGTAGTCTGTGGAGACTCCGAGCCGCGGGAGCGTGCCATTCGCCAGAATGATGACAGCGTCGATGGTCTCAGTGTGATCCCGAATGAAGTTCGCAATGGCTTCCCTATGGTCACTATCTTTGTCGATTCCACGAGTATCAGCGAGACCAGGGGTGTCGAGGATGTGAATCACTGTGTCATTGGCAGCGGTAATCGTGTACATCAGCGGTTTGTTTGTCTGGCTACCAGACTGTTTCCCGCCAGCCTCGTTTGCGGTCTGATGAACAGTGCCGAAAGCTTTCAGTTGAACGCCAGCGCAGACGTTGGACAGCAGATCCAGGAAAGCCGTCTTCCCAGTGCCCGTCTCGCCAATGAGAGCAATGGTCAATTCTCTTTTCTGCCACGGATAGAACGTCATTCTGCGAGAAGTGCGCGTGGCTCTGATCTCGTTAATCTTACGCAAACAATCCATTGCAGTAGACGAACGTACGGCGCGGCGCTGGCATCACGAGTAGGTTGCACGGACGCCCGGGTGGAGCCGTGTGATCGCACCGAAGGGAGCGTAAGACCTGATGCCTGGTGAACAACAGGTCTAGCGCTGCCTGAGGTGCGAACGTCAAGTCTAGCGTTCTGTAAGGTGGAATGTAGGGGTGGCCATATAGATATACATCATACCGTTGAAGCGTAGGTACACGATTTGTACCTTCGGTCGTAATATGGATACTGATCCTCGTGTACATGTCCGCAGCTTCAAGTTCGAGAGGAAACGGGGGGTGAGAATGGCGATCGAAGGAACTATTTATGCGGCGACGTTTCAGCGGGACGTAAAAGACCATCGATGATTCATGGTCTGGTGGTTACCTGATTCGGGGGGGGAGGTGTCAGAGGATTGAGACAGATACAGGGACTAGCGATACCAGGCAGTCCAGATCTGTGTCCTCCACCAGCTTCCTTTGGTACACGTGCCAGAGTTAGCCGCTGTGACCAGGGTGTCGACTGCTGTGATAGCGCGCAAGTGCAGAGAGCTAGCACCGCATTTTCACGCCAGCATACTCGAATTAGATCAACAATTCAGTGGGTAGCCTTGGACGGGGACAAGATGTCCGTATTGAAGACACACCTGGCTGCTCTGGCGCCCAACTATGTTTAGACAGAGTTTGAGTTTCGTATCTCTCTGCTTCGCGTTTTATCCCGATGGCCGACTGGCGGCTATTCTGAGTTAGGTATCTGGAACTGTACCACTCCCTGCGAAAGGCACTCGCCGACAATGCATCTCCGCCAGATGTTGAGCGCCGCCGCTGAAGATGTACAGTGGCTGGGTATTATGGTACCAACCACTATCTCAACAAATATAGAGAGATTGTCAGTGGCAAGAGCAGGCCTCACCACCGACCGGTATCATGCGACGATCTTTGATCATCGACGTCGGAGAGACCGGGGCGAAGAAGGCGCCCATGATATTCCCGCGAGCCAGCGCTTGCGTGCGGATGTCAAGGAAAATTAAGTTGATAGCGTCCAGATTACCTCATCATCTTTACCAGCACCTCGAAGCTGACGCACTGACCTCTCCACTCCTGCCGCTACCGGTACATACACCCGAGAAGGTTGGATCTGAATGGGATGTATGGTTATGGCGGGGAAAATGGGCCAGTCTTCACCTGTACTGCCTAAGATGGGATAGGTGCTGTACGTTCGTAACATCCAGAAAATGCTTATGCGGCTTCAATATCTGCGCATAGCGATCTGAGCGACAACCATAACGCTAGCACGAACGAATCAAGAACAGGAGGCTGACTGGAGAAGTCACGATTATCCCTCAGGCCATGTACGAGCACCTGAGCAATGAGACCGTCTGCGACGATGACGTTCGGCTTGAAGCTCGTGTCTTGGAATGAGGTATCGAGAGTTCGTGAGCATGTCGAGTGTGATAGCGGGACAGGCCGGGGGTTGGGTGAGGCGATAATTGACGTAGAAGGTAAGTGTGAGTGTGTGAGTACCGCAGGAGCCATTTTCGATGTTATACATTACCGAGTGAGTATTCGCTCAACCCCCCCTCCCCCCAGGTCACCTCCTAAGTGGGGTTAACATGGCGGGAAAAGAGGTAGTGTAACGTACCGTGAAACCCGCTCCATGGAGGTGGAGCACTGCTTTTCATTTTCCTCCGTACTTCGAAGTCGAAGCATGAATCAATGAGTTGGTACCCGCAGATCTGCGCGAGAGATATACCCCTGCGAAAGACTCTCAGGCTGTCGCCAGCCGCCTCACCGCAGGCTCACTGAATGTCCGTACTGGATTTCTGTCTGAGACTCACTTTAATGGGGAATACTGAGAATACGGAACGATTTTGATGATTAGAGCACTTCTGAAGTCCCACGAGTCACACTGGCGCATCGGACGATGCAAAGTTACGGAGGTCAAGTCCTCGAGGATAAGTGTCATAGATATCACCTCGAGCTCTCGTGAATCAGCATTATAACTACGTAGATGCAGCTGTTCTTTAGGCGTATGGTAGTACCACGCTGATCCGACGAAGAACGCAAAGTGAGTCAAGAGTTAGTAACAGGATATCGTAGCAAGTGCTGAACATACATGTCTATGGCGGAAGATAGAGTAAGCTCCGCGCTAAATTACTCTACCTTGAAGACCCTCGAGAAACGCTGCCCAGTAATGGTAGACTCAGTGAAAGCAGGGAACGAAGATATAAAGCTGCTCTTACCGACTGGCCGCTGGCCGAACGGGACAAGATAGCTCGAGACGGAGAGCATGGCTCCTACATCGCCCGAAGAGGTATACCTAAGCTTCTTGGCCACCGCTCGGCTGCATAGCGACCCCCACAAAGGAAGGAGGTATGAAGAATGTGGCGCTGAAGTCCAGGGCGACCACTCGGCCATCCTTGAGCTTCTTAAAGTTGCGCGGGTGGATATCGCAAGGGCATAGACAGAGACCGCTCTGTGCGTCAGCCACCAGGTCGACGCGCCTTGGGTCGTTCATCACTCTAAGGATCTGTCATATCCCTGCCTCATTCAAATGCACCTGAAACGCTGCTGAGCACTCACGTTGTCAATATGATTATGCAAGTTTTGAACGGACCTGTAATCAGCAGCAGGAATCCACTCAGGAAAGAAGTGCACAATAGGCATGCTCCCGCCGACGCGGCCAAGGGTCGCGTCCGGTGCCGGAGGTCGATCAAGGCTTGAACAGCTTTGGCCACTATGTCAACGTCGGATTTATCGCAGTCAGGAGTGTCGATATATTCCATCACGATGTAACCGATAGAGAAGGAAGCTTTCTCCCTCGTGAAAGCGCGGAAACTCGGAGGATTACCCAAACCAGAGGATGGAACGTTGCAGAGAGCCTTGGCAACCCGATCCTGCGTCAGGGCCTCGGGGATAGTAACGTTTGGGCCGTACTTAACCCAGGCGATGACGGACTGAGCCTCGTCGACGAGCTTGAATCCCAAGACATCATAGCCGGCTTGTCTGCATCGGGTAACGATGTCCGCGTCAGAGGGCAGACTTTCGTTGACGAGGAAATTGTGAGTCAAAGAATGACATGGTGACATGGTGACTTCAAGTTGTAAGCACGGAAGAAGAGTCCTGGAGCAGAATAATACGGTCGAAAATGGCGGCTACTGCAAAACAACCATAGCAGAAGTGAGCTTATCACCGAGCGCCTGCCACAACAGGAGAAGCAAATTAAAATGGGGGTTGAACGTTGTTGAAGACCGCGAGCCGTGTGACGCGGAGGTCAGGTGACTGAGTCGCGTCACCGCCCGTCACCTGTCTCCCGCCACTGCCACTTTACCGTTACGCGGTTGCAGTGGTGTATACCAGTCAACTTATCTATGTCTATTACGTATATTTCTTCGATGAAACATTCCGTCTCTAGTGCTCAACAATGTGAGTATGTTCCCACTTCGTCCAAGAATGCAAGATAAGTATTAATAACAAGTACAGTATGGATTCGCTGGCAGCGAAATTATCGATGATAGTTCCTTTTTTGGAGAATCTGTTGCTCGTCCGAGTCCCATTCCGCACTACATGGTATAAAGAGTGGTTAGAAACAGGCGTCCTACACTATTGCCAATAAGAACCCTATATACGTAGGATATACGATTTATAATCCTACTCGACGAGGGGAAGAGTCACAGCAGCAGTGCTGAATATTTCGGGCTCCAGAAAAGTGAAACATGATGGTTACAATAGTCGCTACAGCTCATCCACCCATCTGCTAATCCTGATAAGCGTTTGTGTGCGCTCCGGTTCATGCCAGTGGAAGCTAAGAAAGTCATGTATCGCGTCCGAAGGGATATCCCTCACAACTTTTACGCCGTCCTCCCTCATCATCTCCACCAGCACCTCGGAGTCGTCACATAACCTCTCTGCTCCCCCGGCTACCACATACGCCGAGGGAAATCCTCTAAAAATGCCCTTAGTAGGTTGCATATGGGGCGAAATTGGAGATAAGAAAGGGTCAATCTTCGCCTGTTCTTCACTGAGCTTTCCTAAGATAGAACTGGTGCTGTACGCCATAACCTCCCGCAGAGGCTTATGCGGGTTGAATATGTCCGTAAAGCGCTTTCGCTCATCCGAAGAGCCATGCACATTCCGCGAAAATGACAAATCCAACACGGTTGAGATCAAGACCAGATATCCAGGGGGCGGGAGGGAAGCAATGTGATTTTCCATTAGGTACCGAACGAGTACCTGCGCAATGTGTCCACCCGCAGAATCACCTGCAACGATGATGTTTTCGGGCTTGAATCCCATCTCTTGAACGAGGTATCGATAGGTCGCGAGAGCGTCGAGGATGGCTGCGGGAAAGGGATTCTCAATCTCAACCGTGTCTGGAGGTGATGATGCGAGGCGGTATTCGACCCCGAAGGTACGCTTCAGGATGTGAGAGTATTGCAAGATCCCTTTGGTGATGTTAGAGGTGATGAAGTTGGGGTTTGCAGAGCCCGTCTGGGTACGTTTAAATGTAGAGGGTCAAATTCAAATCCACCGCGCGATAGATAGTGAAACGTACCGTAAAGCCTCCTCCATGAAAGTGGAGTACCGTCTTCTCATCTTCCACAGCCTTGGGGGGACCGCCTCCTTCGAACTGGAATCCTGGCTTGAAGATCCAGTACCCCGAGATACGGGCAGGAGACACGCCAGCGTTAGTGGCATATTCTCGCAAGCGCCCTACAACCAGGCTGTCGTCCACAGGCTCTATCCAAGCAAATTGTGCGTTCTCGTACGTCTTTCCCGGGTCCACTTTCTGTCTGAGATTCACTTTGATGGGGAATGCAGAGAGGGACTGGGCGACCTTGACGATTAAAGCACGTCTAAGATCCCAAGAGGCCCGCTGGCGGTTTCTGCATGGGAGGTAGTATATGGACCACAGTGGCACCTTGACGAGCAAAGAGAGCGCGAAGTATGCGAAGTATGCGGCTTTGAAAGGCTGATAGGTATACAGAGGCGCCATATGAGGAGCTTACAGTCGGATAGCAGATGGAGGAGACCAGCACGACTACGGTTGGGAGTCGACTTGGATGGATGATGGGATACGTGTCGCTGAGAGCGCACTACGGGCATTTCGGGGATGATCCCCATTGCGTGTTTTGATAACGCCGGGCCTTTATACTATAAGCCAGGAAATAGAATAAGGGGTCCCGGATTACGGGTAGGGTCCCATAGCCCTGAAAATGAGAGCGAACGGAGCATTATGGCAGGGGCCGCAGAGAGGAAGCAGACGACTGACTTGTCGCGGAGCGAGCTCACCGAGTGACCCTAACCTGATGGACGAAGGCCCTAGAGACCTTTATAGTTACGCCACGACTTGTCTCACCCTCTCGTGTGTAAGCACTTTTTTGATTCGGCTGGACCAATTGCTGGCACTGCATACGATATCTTTTCCCTGGGTTACTTACCTTCACAACATGAGTCAGATACTAACACTCGGTCCTGCAAGGGTTGCCAGACTAAGCAGAGCGTGAGAACTATGCCGCACTGCAGTGCTGGCCAAGCAACGCCAAACATAACCACAGTTTGTTGACGCAACGAGGTGGCCACTTTCCGCCCCTCAGAGACTCCTAAGAACCTCACTATCGACTGTTCTCGAATATTCTTTGCGATCCAGTCGAACATTTCCTTCAAAACATGGCTATTATTCTGAGCTCAAGCCCCCGTGCCACCGCATCTGCACAGACGGAAGCCACCTCAGGGCCCATCGTTACTGGACCGCACCGTATTGCTGAAGAACAACACAAGCGGAATAAATCCACCTCTATGACTAATGATACTATAGGTAAGTTCAATACTGCAGGTGCTTGGTAGACTGAATTTAATACCATTCGATTCGGAAGTTGTCGTTCCTATCGCGAGCCACACTCAGGCTCAACCTGACCATCCCATGCCTTCCGTCAAAATAATTGCTGGCCACTCGGGACCTGTAGGAGAGTCCACAGACGTCAGGAGCTATGCTCGATTACCACGAAGGATTTCTACTGTTACCACCGCCGATGTCACCACCACCGGTCCTCCCCAGGGCGAGGAACAACCACAAAGTAGCGACGTGAGCCATGTCCTGGAGGCTGAGACGAAGTGCATTTGGCCGGGGACAAATCTGGCAGGTGTAACTGTGCTCCCGGTGGAGACACTGTGCCAGATCTTCTCAGTTACTATTGACGAGGCGAGGGAAAGGGTCTGGCCGCTTGCGCCGGATCCTCGGTTCTATGACAGTATCCAGACGCTGATGGCAGTTTCTAAGTCCTGGAGAAACATGATACTCGGTAGTCCCACCCTCTGGAGTACGGTACTACTCGATGGTATCAAACCCAGCGCAGTGGCGCTTATCATTAGCCGCAGCGGAAAGTCTACACCACTTTCCGTACAAGGTAAATTTATCGATGGAGACGGAAATGAGGATGCCAACAGCAGGAAGCTCAAGCTGGTTCTGCGGGAGTCGCACAGAATACGCAAGTTGTACCTGGAAGTGTCAGACAAATATCTCAGGATGCTGGGCAGCGGAAAAGGGATGCCGAAGCTAGAAGAACTCACCTTAACAAGGACTCTCTCGCGCAGCCTAGCAGTCAGCAGAAAGCTACCTAGCCTGAGGGCCCTCAGGAGTCCTCGCCTGCAGAACATCGCCCTGTACGATGTTCCATTCAGGGCCTACCAGGTCCTCTTATCTGGCAACGTCCAGGATCTCACTCTGATTACTGATATTACGCCGCTATTGTCAACGGATGATATCTTGTCATCTCTTCGCTCTGTCCCCAACCTGAGGTCCTTGACGATGCTGGCGGCCGTGAAGAGCAAGGAAGTCCGATGGCCCCAACCGGTGGTTTTGCCTAAACTCGAGGAGTTGGAGATCGAACCCAACGAAGTCGTGGACGTCAAGTTTCTTGACTATATAGGAGCGCCGAAGTTGACTTCTGTCAACTGTCACATCCTGTCGCCTTTCTCAAGTGACGACACAGAGGTTGCGAAAATCACAGATCTACTGGCACCCCTGGTGAACCAGATAGCTCGTTACCGCGACTTTCGCCGTTGCGAGATCAGGAAGCCTGACGAGTACAACATGGGTGTTGAACTGATCAATCCAAGAGCAGTGTCGAATCCGACGATGAAGAAAGAAGGTCTCTACTTCAGCGTCGATCATCTCGAACAGGCAAAGATTCTGGGTGTGCTCACCTCCTTTGACGGTTCTCTGAATAGGGTCACGGACCTAATGATACGAGAAGGGGCTTCTCCACCAGAAGCTACGGATGCTTGGCACAATCTCTTGAATCTCATGGCTGAGGTGCGGACGCTCCACATACACGGAAGGGATCTCGCAGCCATACCATCAGGATTTATTCACAACGAAGAGGGCGCTCCCCGTCGCATCCTTCCGGTGGTGGAATCGATAACCGTCGAAGGAGTAAGCAAGATGGAAGGATCCATCAATCACCTGTTGAGATTATTCCAGCATCGCGGAAACGCGAAACATAGGATTAATTTACGCATTGTGAATGCGATTGACATTGCTCAGAGTGACGTCGATTCCTTGGACACCTTGGTTGAGAATGTTTACTGGGATGGAGTGGTATCTGGAAGTGGAGGGGATGTGAACGGCAGGAACTCGGATGAGGAAAATGACAATGTCGAAGGATGAAGACATGGAGACCGACGCGCACACGATGGTATGGTAGTACTGGGCGCAAAAGAATGATCTCCGGTGCAAGCAATGGCTAAAAACCACAAGACCTAGCCGACATTCCTGTTCCTGTTCGTGTCCCCGTCTATACATACATTTTTGACGAAGGCCATAGTATAGATTTGGTCGTAGAGATCAACACAGCTGCAGCAGAGTGGCGTGTTATCGTTGCGATATCGCTTCGAAGACCAGCGGCAATTGCCGTGGATAGCAGGCTATTCCCAATATCCACTCCATTCATCTGAAGTTCAAATGATAGCATGCCAGAATGTCTTTCAGGCAGCGCGCTAGCCTATGCTTGTCTACGTATGTCGAGCCAAGCTAAGGGCGAGCGAAGAGACCACGCGTTGAGCACGCGACATCCCGCGTGGGTCATTTCCTTAGAGGTGCTCAGCGCGCTTTCGTATTCTCTCCGTTATGCTTCGCTCGCCAGCTTGGCTCGTCGACGTGTTTTTCGTCCCGGCTACCTGCATCCCTTTTCTCTGGTGGGGTGGTGTAGCCCGGATTTCGTCGTGTCGCGAAGACGGCGCGCGTTGTAGCTTCGCCATTCCAACCCTGAGTCTCGGGTCTGGCACTTTCCGGTGCCACAATCTCGGCCACCGCGGACTTTGCTGCGGCCCGCCCGACGCCGACCCGAGCCTCCCCCAACCCATGGTAATCGCACTAAGCATCACGCGAAGTCGATTCCCAACGTCTCTTTCCTAGTCTACACATCTAGTCTCGTTACAGAAGCCCATTAGCTTGGAGCGCAGCTTGCTTGACCTCAGCCGTGAGCGTGACTGGGAACGATGTCCTCGATGTTTTGGAAAGAGGTCTGAGCTACATCGCGCTGCTTGGGACAAGGGCGATCGTATTCCGTATGACCTGTAGTCTTAACCGCCGGTTCCCGCCCATAGAGAACATCATCCACATCGTTGCCTGCGACAGCTGACCACTGTAAGTGACCGGACGGTAAGATATGCCTAATACTCAGGGTCTCCCAGAGTTGATTGCCGGGTTAATACCCCTACTTACTTTTGCGCAAGGACAGACAAGGAAGTAGACTATACACTCCAGCCCTGAGCGAGGTTGAGGTACGGTGTCCTTTGGAGGCTTGCAGGCTTCCCTTTTCGCGATGAACCACCACTACGCACACCCGTATTTGCTCCCGCTCTGAACGGTTCCGGACCTTCGGAATCCATGCTGGGTACACGTCTAGCTGTAGTCTCTTGGCAGCCGGCTTGTTACCGGTCCCTGTGACACTATCATCCGTTCTATCAGGCCGTACAACTTGATGGAGGAAATGCTTGTTCCAGGTCTGGCTCTTTACAGTATTTCCTCGTGCTGATCTGCGGCACCTGTGTTTATTGTATTCCGCTTCCATCGTGATGCGGAAGAGACGCGGAGAGGGCGTTTTGCATTTATCGGGCCCCTTACGTGAGTTTGGGCTTCCATGCAAGCCGTCATTTTTAGGTGAAGTCGAGAGTCAGATGGATGACGTAGAGGACCGTCTCACGACTTCTGGCAAGGTAGCCAGAGGACTTACTCGCACGCTTTGGGGCAGCAGCTCGGCACTCGCTCCAAGAGTTGGAAATATTTCTTTGAATTGAGTCCATCTCATGTGAGTCGTGTCCATACACGTTTAACCTCCTTGCCCAAATACACCCATGCCGTTCTTCCCTCATCAGTGCTTCTAGGTTAGGATGACCTAGCCATAAGTTCAGGTAGAGCAGCGTATGCTGGTTGGGACGAAGGTCGTACTTCAATTCCTGTATATCTTTGGGAAGTCGCCGAAATTATAAGTAAAGGATAAGGGTGAAGGATTCCCCCAGTCTAACTCTGCATCCTGCCGTGTTACCGTGGATTCTGTATGAAATGCCCTAGCAGGACGAAGTATGTGTCAGCCTCCTCTTCCTATTTCATATCGTAACACCTTGCAGACTGATATTTTGGGAATAGCCGCATTGGCAGCGACCGTCGGGACGCCTCCCTGAACCCGTTCGATGCCCGTCGGGGACCCTTGTTCGCTTGTCCGAGCGAACAGGCATAATTGTGGATCGTCGAGGAAGCGACATACCAGACGTCACTGGCTTGCTGTAACTTGCTCGTTCCATTTAATAGCTGCGAGGCCAGGTTACTATCCTAGCCTTCTCGCAATACCGTGGCCTACTCCGATCCCAGCTTTGCAACCATGCAGAGATCCCCTTGGGCTTGGCAGCAGCCACCTCTACCAGCCAACTACTCCGTAGTTGGTCAGTCCTCACCGCCTACACCGAAAGATAGAATATGGTACAGAAAACTCTGGGGCCTCGAGGCCAGCTTCGCCATGTGCGGTCACGTCCTCCCTGGAATGGCCGATATCATCCTCTCTTGCCAGCTCACGCCTCCAGACGGTTGTCCCACCGAGATTGACGAAGCTCTCGTCCGCACCGCCGTCCGTGCGCTACGATTCGAGCACCCCACCATCGCCGCCAAGTTCGCCTGGCCGAAACTCGAGCCGGACACCTTCCCTGTAGCCGATAACGCGCGGTTCGTGTATGAGGTACCTGCTTCTGACGAAGACGTCGAGGGATGGCTCTCGCAAGTCGTGGTCACGCGAATGGACGCGGCTGAAGCAGCTCGCGGAGACGTAGATTCGGCGGTCAGGTTTGTGTCGCATGACCTGGGCAGAGTGGCCTACGGACCGCAAACCACTCTGTTCGAGCTGCACTTCATCCCTGTCTGGCAAGGTTCTTCCTGCGGTGTCGTCTTTCGCTTGGGACATGCATTATTCGACGGGATTGGGTCATTTCAGTTCCTTGACATGTTCAATGCAAGAATCGCGCAATTATTAAAAATGCCCGTGAGGGAGGAATTTGCGTGGGGAGAAGAGGTGACAAGATTGACAGGCGCCGTACCAGACCGTGCTCGGGTACCGTGGTCGCCAGACAAAATAGATGACGACAAGGTGATGCTTGACAAGCTCCAAGAAGCCCTCGTAATTCAGAAGGTGAGATCAATCAACATAAAGACGTTTCGAGCACTCAACTTAATTCAACAGAGTCTGCGAGGATTAGACGTCCCCAGTCCTCTCGGGCCCCCTTCGAGCACCGGTGTGGTCCTCAGGACGATGTCTCCCGACTCTCTGGGACGGCTCTCTGCGGCTGCGCGTAACCGCGGATGTACCGTTTTCAGCGTGCTCCTGTCTGCGAACATTCTTTCGCTTCTCCGGCTCCGCCCCCCATCGGATCCGAATAACAGCGATATTGCGATATATCCCAGCGCCGTCGACTTGCGCGCAAGGAATCTTAGAGATGGTGCCAGTCCACGAGGCGTATCAAATACGATAGGCTTCCATGTCTATATCGTGCGGAACCTAAGGCGGTTCGTTCATGACAGGTCTAAGACAGATGCGTCAGGGGAGACCCGGACGCTCTTGGATGACCTGTGGACGTTGGGGAGGGAAGTGAGAAAACAGGTCGACGAGCAGCGGAGATACATGGACCGTATTGGGTTCTGGGGCAATGAGCTGATGGAGGTCCTTGGACACTTCACAGCCGCAGCCAGGGCAAGAGAGTACGTTTGTTTCTTTTCCATTACATTACGGATTCTCATTTCATTCTTCGCTTCCGAGAAGTAAACAGCCCGAAGAACGTATAGCGAACCTCTCGCCACTGCCCAACTTATCATCTTTAGGCATAGTCGACGGTCACCTCTCCCCCTCGCACAAGGTTTCCGATACATCGGTGCTGACGATCTCCAGTCCGAGATTCAGTTCCCGTATCCCGTATAACCCTTCCGTGATCATGCATCCTTATACATGGCAGGGGACGCTCTATGTCCCTTTCAGCTTTCCTGAGGGCTACATGTGCTCAAACGAGTCTCAGGGAACTGGGGTGGACGCTCAGGTATTGAACTTTACCGATGAATTCATGAAAATCTTGAAGTCCGCATCCGAAGATGGAGCGATGTGCTCATCAGACCAAATGTCGGGGAAGCCGCTGGCAAGAATATGGAGGAAGGTCTCTCGCTGGGCTGGACATGTCCGAAGGTCATCTGCGCCTCTCGCCTCAGACGTCCCGAAACACAGCCGATCCGGCTCAAGCCGAAGAACCTTCAGACTGTCGTTCGTAGCCTAATTCTGCCCGATTATCTGTCTCGAACATCGTATAGACGGTCCTATAGATTACTACTGGATCTCGGCTCTCTGAGTGCGGCGTATACGTAGAGAAACAGGTTTGTATGCTAATCATGACTTTACTATCACACTCTTTCTTCCTTGTAGAGTACGATCATGGGGCAGGTAACGGAGCGCTGTCAACTATAAGGTGCAGGATCTTCATGAATACGTCTATGAAAGCTAGGAGGTACGCGTGATCTGTTATTCCCTCAGAGGCTGCACGCATCTGTTCCTCCAGCGTCCCGTAGTACCTTTTCGTAAAGCTAAAATGTATTTTCAGAGTTCCTTTCCGAGTATAAACGTGCAACATAAGTGCATGTCCGGGCGTTCTGACACTGAGTTGTAGCTGCGAAATGCATAGGGCATCAGGGATAGCGACAGCGATGGTCGGGGAGAGATATCGATCGGTTGCACCGAGGGGCGATATGACCGGAAAGGGAGACGAATACACACAGCCAAGAGTAGTAGAGGTGGCAATCAGACGTCCAAAAATGAGTAGTCTTGTTGTAGCTCCGGTCTAAGGAGGTCAACAAGAGTGGTGCACTATGTACCTTGAGAGCCCAAGACGGTTCCCTGCAGACTCGATGGCGGGGGCCAGTTCTTCCAGTTACGCCCATGTCGCTAATGTACAGCATTTGACAGATCACTCTGATAACTTGCCGCCAATCGTCGCCTCGAGTCCTCCGCGGCCAACGGGTATTTCTAGAAAGGTAGACGGCCGTCCCGACTCCCGACAGGATGGCTGAGCTCTCCACTCAGCAAGCGTATAGTCCTACTTGCGCGGGTGCGGACTCTCCTTTCCAGAATTGAATCGACTTTTTCCCTGGAGTGCCGCAGGTACTTGCCGTTCCTCATTATCACACTGGGAGCGACTCCGGACATGAAAATTGTACTTGCTTGTATTGGTGGCCTTGGAAGCTCGTGTCCGCAATTGTCAGCTCCCAGGGCTCATCGCCGTGTGATCCACAAGATCCAACCGCCCTGAATATTTTCTCACAAAATATCAGTAGGCGACTTAAGATTTATACTTAGAGGGAGAGAACTCAATCCAGTCTCAATGAGCTCAAATGGCGAGGCATACGCCACGCGTTCGATGTTGGAGCGACTGTGGGAATCAGAGAGGTGACACCGCTCTGTTTCTCAGGCTGTGGCAAACTGCACGGATTCCAAATTTAGCGACATTCTTTCCTTTTTGGGTTATATTTATCTTTCGTTCTCTTATCGTAACTCTTTATCACTCTGACAGCTCATATAGCGTTGTGATAGCCTTTTGACGTATCTAGATTGTTGTACTGTACCTTGCGAGCTTGAGGACCTTAAGTACAACGCCCCCGTAGATACATCCCCATCTTTGCACTTGTTCGTTAGACGTGCTAAGTGGGGTGAGTTTGTATTCGCGAACCCGTTCGTTCATGGACTTACCATTACCTGTAGTTTACTTGTCTGTTCATTCACAGGTAATGCTATATCTTTGCACTTGTTCGTTAGACGTGCTAAGTGGGTTTACTTGTCTGTTCGTTCACAGACGTGCACGTCTACGCAAAGGTCGAATATATTATATTATTTTGACATTCGAATCGTGCTCGGCCAATCAGACTGCGTGAAATCTCGTTGAGACTTCAGAGGACCGCGGCGTGACGATCCTCGCTATCTTTGTAGTCAACACCCTATGCCGCGCTAGTCTTGCTATCTGCTACGTCTACTGTGGATTAGGCGATATTACGCCTACCTGTGTGTTAAAATATTCCAAGCAAACGGAAGACGAGCGCGTTTGCCCCAGGCGGTCGGTTGCCCGAAGGGCAATCGCGTACAGTACATCGAGTAGATACAACGAATATATATGAATTTCTTATCACCTTATCAGTTGGGCCCGCCTGCGGCGGTCCCCCCCTGACCACGCGCACACGGCGCGAGCTCGCAAGCTCGATCCCGACTCCCGAAATCCAACACACTCCCCCGAGCATAGCGAGCGAGCGCCTCGATACACTCCCCGTCTCGATACACTCCCCAGTATCCCACACTCCCCGAATCCCGCAACTCCTCCTCCGATCCCAGCCCCGACATCCGGCCAATAGTCCATGCTCGCGATGAGCTCCGACGGGCGACCCTTAGGCGCAAAGGTAGGCGAAAGGCGTACGGCAATCCCAACAGCTCCCCAATAGCTCTCCGAAAACTTCGATCCCGACCTCAACCTCGACATCGCAACTCACGTTCTTCGGCACAGTAGGTTTCGGCCCCCACAAGGCAAGTCCCTCGACTGGATTCAGC